TTGAAAGCTACTATAGGATGAATACTTTCCTTACGTCTCATACTACTGATAACAAAACACTCCAATATTAAACACGAAGTAATAAAATGTATACATAGAAAGTAGAACCGAAGAATATAGTAATGAAATTTAGCATCGCATTGGTATTGGATGAAATAGGATTTTATAATATGATTTAGATACGAACGTGTTAAACCTTAAACGAAGAGAATAAAAGTAGCTTAATACGGTTAGTAATTACACGCGCTTGTTTTATTTAATCATCGACCAAATTTGTACATTTTATTTATTGATAATATCTGTCTTGACCGCAAGATTTTAATATGCTATCTTGATCATAAGATCGTAATTTTCAATGTTACGTTCGATTCTCATCTTTTTGTTTGAAGTATTTGCTAACTTTCGCACCACAAAAGAAGCGCGATATAAAAAACGATACCTTTTTATTGGCAACGAAATCCGACTTTTGAATTATGTAAACGATTATAAGAAAAAAGCTTTCAATTTTTGAAGCGGCTATCAAATAGCTTCTTAACCAATCTTTTACGATGCAACGAAATATTCCTGGGACTTTTTAATAGATCTGACGACAATACCACGATGCAGACACAAAAGGATCACGATGGTATAGATCGCTCGACAGACACGTAGAACGAGCGAAATAAATGATCCCAGCTGCTAAGGAAATGCAACACAGTTGCGTGGCAATTCGACTATTAATTATGTCAAATAAATGCTACATAGTAGCCAGTCCCATTGCTCCATCCCTAATGAATTCCGTGGCTAAAGATAATCGAAATATAAATCTCTTGACTCGTTTTAGAGAATAATAGCGAATTCCTTCAAAGTACCATTAGAATCTTCTTTGATTAAAATAAAGATACTACGAACTATAGATAAAATTAGAATCCAATTTAATCCTTCCATTGTGTTCGGGACTATATGATCCCATCGCGTCTTCAAATTACCGTAACCTTTTGTATTCAATTATACCGCAGCCAGATTGTTTCATTTTGTATATTATTATGGAGAGATACTTTAACAAATAAGAAGCAATTTCTCGTTAGATTTATCAAAAGATGAACAATCACAATTATTACACAACAATAGATAAGATAAAGTTTAACGTATATGATGAAAGGCATAAGTTCGTTTAGAAACTATAGAATTTTTTAAAAGATTATCTTATAGAGAAACAAAAAAAATTGCGAACCCACGATTTAATATAATCTTTTTAAAAAACAAGTCTTATACAGACAAGAGGAAAATGTTGTAACTCCCCCTATTCACTTATTGCTGGTATTATAATACCTCTAAACTTTTAAGTTATTATTAGAACATATTATTCTTCCTATAAACTAGAAGAAATCAATAATACATTTTCTATGAAGAAGAAAATTTACAAAGTTCTATTTAACATTTAATTACAATTCCACATTCACGCAACAATACTACCAAATTCAATTTATTTGAACCAATCGTTAAGTTACTCATTTGAGTTACTAAAGATGCACCAAATATCACTAAATAGTACATTCAAATTAAATAAATATTAAACCCAATATTAATCCTTTCTAATTCTCCCTGGCCTTCATAATTAATATCGCACCAAGTAGCTATGATTCCTTCGCTTTTCCCACAAAATTCTCCTTTCCATCAATCCCCATCTACGTATCGTACTGAAAACTAATTTTTTCCGAAATACTCCCTCAACATTCGTACTAACCGTTAAACGCAATCCGTTGCACTATCGACATTCGTCCTATCGCGGGATCCCGCCGGCACGAAACGGAAACTGATACGCTAGAAGGAAGGTGGTGCAACGCCTGCAGCTGACCCACTTTAACAGCTTCTATATCGGCGAATAAACAAGACGGAATGCTACCAATGCTATGGGGGACTTTCACTCGGAAGGCTCGTTCCTCGTTCAGAACCGGGACTAACCGCGCGGCGATCGATTGTTTTCGAA